GTGGTTATTCTAACAGTCACTGCTGATGTTGACAGCACATCCACTCTGAGCCCCTGCAATTTGTTCACTCTCTTATGACCCTCACCTATGCTCACTGAGGTTCTGACCATTTCACAGATGGAGAAACTGAGGCCCAGAGAGGTTACTTAACCTACCTGAGACCACATGGTTCAAAACTGGAAGAGATGGGTTTTGCCCAGGACCTCTGATGTGAGATGGGGGGAGGGTGCCCTGTAACTGTGCAAGTCATTTCACCACTTTGTGCCTCAGTTTCCCCATCTGTCTAATGCAAATCACAGTACCTGCCTCCTAGGGCTCCTGAAAAGATAAGTGAGTTCAATCCCTGTGAAGTGCTTAGAAGAAAGTGAGGTATATAGTAGGTGCAGGATGACTACTATCACCCACCATGAAGATTTGTTCCTGTTGCAGCTGTAATAATGAAAATAATAATACAATATAATATAATAATACTCTTATTATTATTGGTTGAGTAATCCTGGCTTAGCCACTTCCTAGCTGGGGAATCTCAGGCCAGTTGCTCAACCCCCCAGGTGCCCGTTTCCCATCTGACAAATGGGGACCCACATCCCTGCCCCATACCATGTGGAACAGAGGTCACAAGGTTGTCCGGGGGCTGCCAAGTAGGTCAGCGGGGCTGGAACTCCAGAGAACTTCAAGCAAGGAGGGGAAATAATGTTGACACTCCAGCAGGGGCCAGATCAGGGAGCCTGAGGAGGTTTCCTTCAGTGGGGAGCGCCAGCAAGGGTGGTACCACTAACTACGGAACCCTGCAAGGTGCAGAGACACAGAGGGGTCACAGTCTGCCCTCTGGGCTGACAGGCTATGGGCTGGAGGGCAGGCAGTAAACAGGGAAGCAGGTAAATTCCATATGGGGGTCTGATGAGGCGCTACAGAGAATGGGGAAAGTGGGGAGAAACTGGGCTTGCTGAGGATGAGAGATGATTATATATCAGACTTGGGAGACAGGTCAGGGAATGTTTGAGCAAAAACATGAAGGAAGGACAGGAGGGAGGGAACCAGGAGGTTATCATGGCCAGAGTGCTCCAGGCAGAGATAACCACCCTTGCAAAAGTCAAATACTGAGGTGGAATGTGCCTGGTGTTTTCCACAAGGAAAATGGCAGCCAAGTGACTGAGGGGGGTGAGGGAGGAGCTGAGGGCAGGGAGGTGATAGGACAGAACTTGCAGGGCCTTCAGCACTATTGGAGGTTTACATTGAGTGAGGTGGGAGCTACAGAGGGTTCTCGAGCGGAAGAGGGATGTGCCCTGACTCAGGAGGTCCCAGGCAGACTTGGTCTACTGTGAGGAGAACAGAGTGTGGGGGACAGGAGCCAGGGTACCAATGTGGGAGATGATGGGACTAGATCAGGGTGGGGGCCAATGAGGAGAAGTGAGAGGATTGGGGATCTAGTTGAAGTCAGAGTCACTGGGCTTGGTGACAGCCAGATTATAGTGGTGGTGGCAGGGATGTTCCTCTTCGTGCTTCCCCCAAGCTTGTAGCAAACATCTCAAAGCCTCTTCTCCTATGTTACGCCAGTTCTTCCTCACCCTGCTCCTTGAGGCTATTGGGTAGGCATTTAAATCCCATTCATCAGAGGAGAAAACTGAGTCCCAGACAGGTTAGACCTGCTCCAAGGGCCCAAGGCACATCCTGAGGGATGAGAAGGCAAAACAATGGATGGCCATGTGGACAGTGTTGGGACAACACCCTGGAGCCAAACATCCCCCCTCCCCCAG